ACCGCTGTCTGGTAACCACCGGAACATCTGGCCACAGACAGGCCTATAAATCCTGTGAGATCCCTCCAGCTCTTGTCCTTATAGCAAAATGAATACAGATGCAAACCAGCCTTCAGTGTTACCAGCCACAAAAAAGAAGAAAAAGGCCTAAAGTTTGGGTGAGACCCTGGATGGAGAGAGTCCACAGAGGGACCTGAACTCTATCAGTTCTGCTGTCTTTGACTTTGTTCATTCTCACAGTTCAGTCAGTTTGTTTCTACTCTTGTCTAGTGCACTTTCACACTACAGTCCTAGGAGGTGCAGTAGGGCGTAGTATCACACATCTACACTCCCAGTAACTAATACCAGCCATGGGGTGGTGGCAGTTGGCTGGAGCAGCTTGCTACCAACTAAGGTAGAAACAGTATTAATGAAACTAGTCTCTGCCTTTCCTGCAACAGATGTTCCTTCATGATGATGGACAGTGTTGGAGCTGAACACCACTCAGTCTGGTACGTTGGACTGCCAAATCTGTAAGCTTCTGTAATCAATCAGAGCGAAGCCCCCGCCAGCTCTGTAGCTCAACATGGAAACACTTCACAGAAATAGGCCCTGCTCTCAGAGACAACTGAAGCAACTCCCTTCACTGTTAAAAGCTCCAGAAAAAAGTAGTAAGTGGTCCTTCTGTTAAGATCATTTGCCAAGCAGTAATGTAGCTCTGGCCAAACAATCTCACATCAAGCTCCATTTAGCAGCTGTGCTGAGCGTCCAATCACATGACATGACTGAGTGCAGACGAGAGATCCAAGGTCAAGAAGAAGCTAAAGGATCAGTTTTCACTGTAATGAGTCTTTGCTCTACTTCTGAAAACAACTGGCAGTAACCACCAGTACACCCGATCACTATGGGACTGTATCAGTAGGTCAGGTGCTTACAAATGCACATCAGGTTTAAGATGCTTAAAACACAGCCACAACTTTTGACTTTTGTGAGTTTGCAGTCTAGGTTTGTTGTTGTGTGGTCGGAAACCTGGGGGAGGGAGAAGCAAACAACAGGCCAATAATTTGCCACAACTTCATAAAACTAAATATGATTTATAGTTGACTATAATGCTACATGCTGGTCAAAGTGGTTCATGATTATAAACAGTACAAATCTCTGTAAATATGGAACAAAAGTGTGTGCTGAAATCCAACTCCAGCACTCTGGCAGACACTTAAACTCTCCAAGTATATCGAGATGATTTATGAGTTAATTAGTGAGGTTGATGTATGTGCTGTACGGCGTTAAAAACAATGAAAGGTGCTGA